CGAGAAATTAACTCGCACTTTAGACACCTCAGTTAATTTTCGAACTACGGTTGAATCCCGAAAACACAAGATGATAGAATGCAAGAAGCAAATTTCTATTCCTATCTCTAAAATATTATTTATAAAGGATATAGTTTTATAAACGACTTTAAAATCAATTGTATTGTAAAGTTGAACCTCCAGTTATTTCTTGAAAGACTTAACTTAACAAGATTTTTCGTATTTTTGTAAAATGTTCCCGAATCCTCAATCTTTAAATTTAATTTTAGTGCATCGATAACGTACATTCGATGTATCAATAAACTTGTAGAGTGAGATAGAATTTCAGAAAAGCATAAAAGACATACGTATTCTCCAAAGAACGAAAATATGTACTTCTCGAGGCTTTGCCAGATGTCTGCTTTTCTTACACTCAGCTGTTCCTTTCCCTCGAAATAAAATCCATATTCGGGCATATATGTATGTATAAGCAGATTACACTAATATTTTTTACAATTTCGCCGCTATAAGTCGACACGTAAGACGCGCCACGCTGAATTCTTTTTATTCCGTTTTCCGTAATTGTAAGCTATTCTAAATAAAAAGTAACATTACGTTGATTAAAATAACGACATAAGTAAAAATGACATTTCGAAATGCTTTTAAAAACATATGATATTTTTCTTCGTAAAAGATATTTAAAAATTCTATTAAAACGCAATAAAAATTGTTTTACTTGAAAAGTAGGATAACATGATTCATTTAACAGCTGATTTATTGATAATCGTTAGTCTCAACATTTTTCCTTCTCCGTGCGAAATGTTAATAAAACACTACGCCAAGCAGAAAAAGAAAATTCACGTGTCTTTCAACGTGGGAATATCTGCGTATCCTCGTTCACGTCATCGGTCAGCATTGATCTTTGAACGGTCCGTTACTTCGCATACTCACTCGGTGCACGGTAACGTGGAACTGATATGTTCCAGGCGATTGATCATCCGCCTGACTAGTTGGACTAGCGCGCTTGATTTCTCCGGCATGCACCTCGGAGCTTAAGGGAGAAGCCATCGATTACGGGTCGCTTGGTAAATAAGAATTTTCACATATCGCACGCCGATCGATGCCCGAAAATCAGTTTTGTAATTACTTCCTTCCTTCCTTACCGCACAGTTCGTTAAGCTTCATCTCGTCCGTGGATTCGATAAGATAGAATTTAGATGAAACTGTAGATACTACGTGGAAAGATTCTCAAACGCGAAATTCTTCGAAATCAACATCTATCGAGTTGAATAATATTAGAAACAGAATTTAATATCGCACATGAGATTATTATCGATATAAAAATGCAGCCTTTGAGTAAATTAATGTTTCTAACTGAATTATGTTATTCCGTTTTTCGAAATTCACGATAATTATCTTCGGCAACTTAACTAGACATAAATTTGCAAGCAGTAGTTTGCAAACTGCGAGAAGTCAATTATTGATTGATAGAATCAATAATTAACCTTACTGATGTGAATAACGCGAAAAGATTAATTTGCCAGCACTTGATTTTAACTCTTTTATCATCCACTCGCTATTCACCAGCGAAAGCGCCGAGATCCGGAAAGATCATTCCTAGTTAATGTTAGCCGAAACGAAAATCTTTCACGAGCGTAGAACAATGGGGACGATCTCGGCCGAGAATGGAGCAATTTCACACTGTCGCTTTGTCTCCGCCGCGAAAGATTCCTCTCACGTATCGGACGCGAGAGAGTTTGCGTCGTCGACTACGAGGCTAATTAATCTCTCGCGGTTTTCGTGATAAAGACCATCTCCGGAAATGATTTAAGATCGTCGTCGCCCGACGAAGCGAGCAAACGCGGATTTCAGCGCTATTCGAGTATAAAATTCCGAACATCTTGCGGCAAGAAAGTTAATTGAAAATTAACCTTTCCTATATCGCGTGAGTGAAAATTACGACAAATATGTTATTCGAATATTATTCTGATTTAAGATGAAAGAGTAATTTCACGTTAAATTTGCTAATATCATTCCCGGAACTTGAAATTTCGCGTATGCGAGCTTGAAATTATCCAAGAGTCGTCGACGAGTGTCTGGAATCCGCACGACGCGACGGCAAATCGATTGATGTCGCGCATTCGCCCCTGAGTACATTTCGCAATTTCCGGCCGTTAATAATTTCTAATTAGCGTCATGGGTTCCGTTCCGTTTGATGCGGCCGATCACGCTATGGCTGCATCTCTTCCGCGTACGATTGCGTTCAATTTCGATATTCGCGGCGATCGATCGATTTTCAACATATGAGAGGATTATCGAGAAACTAATCGGGAGCTTGAAAATAGCTATTATCTACGATTAGGCTGTCTCTTTATGGATAGAGTCTATAACATTCTCAATTATTATTTAAAAGCTTTGTGCTTATTTAATACCTCACGTCGCACATGCATTAGCTCAATATTAATTTTTTTGGTACTTATTATTTTTGTATTCATCGTAATAGAAAGCAGTTTTTGTGCTCCTCGCCTAAAACTGTCACTCATGAAAGCGGAAAAAAACAAATTTATGGGATATCTCGACGTGATAAACGATAACGTTGACGACATTCGAACAGCTTCCGATATTCGATCGACCTAATCGACCAGAGAAAAACATTTCAGCAACTACTCCGACGATCAAGAGGGTGATTTTATTACGGTGTCGCAGTTAATTGTGAGTGACACGCGGCATGCGTGGGGAAAACAGGGTGCAAATGTTAACACGTGTGTCTTCGCGAGCGACCCTTCCGTTTACAGGGGACACCCCTTATCTCACACTATCAATCATGATGTTCGCGCCGCTTCTCGACAGTCATCCTGCGTTATTATCATCGCTAATGACCGGCCGTTGTATATCGGCGCGAAGAAACAAAATTCTGCCACTCACATGCTTAGAGCGGTGGAAAGATAGCGCAGTACAATAGATCAGTTTAACGAGAAAATTAACACCGCCGGCGATTTTACTATGTACTATGTAGGAAAACACCGGTGCACAGTATCAACGATCCATTGCTGACAATCTCGGAATGATGTATGCCGCGAGTGCGTAAAGCGTGAAATTGCAGGTAGGATACGCGCAATGCTCCGCCGATCATTACGATCAGCTGTTAACGATCCGTCATTGAGATATCGCTCGGCCGACATTACGTCACGTTACATTGTGCAATATCGCAGCGCGTCCCTCGACGCGAGCTCATTATCGATATCGATGCGTCGATGAGCCGAGTGATGAACTGCAAGCTTCGTAACATAATACGTAACGTAATAGCAAAATACTTTCTATACTTTCGCCGATGCGATTTAATTAACGCGCACCACATTAAAGATTTATTAATTTTGAAAAGCAAAGGTCTCAAAGATATTTATTGGTGGAAAAGCTTACTTAAAATTGCAAATAATGTGTCTCGTCGCAAGGCTATAATTATCGTGTCGAGAAGATTTCAGGTGCGTGCAGACGTAAAACAATAATCACTCGTTACGAATAATAGTAATTGTTTGTTCCTCTTTCAGATCACAACCTCCTCATTAGGTTTATAATTCTGTGTTTTATATATAGCCATAACGTAAATGTGAGACGCGTGGAAAAATGCGAAAAAGCATTTCGCATTATTTTCTTCCTTAACAATCGCTAAGAATCGTTTCTTCGTATTCGAGATCGTGCGAGTCTTTCCAGTTGTGCATCGTTGTGACAATACAGATCGAAAGTGCAGTTACGATTGTAAGACCCAAGTTGGTCATGCAGAGAGATTAACCTTAGCGATTTCTCGTTTTGTATACAAGTGAGACCAATCCCGAAGATTGTCGTACTATTTATTGTCCTTTTGGCAATTATTCAATTTAATATCACTGCAATTAGGATAATTTAATAAAAATTATGATATTGATTTCGTTGCAATATTTCACATGATTAAAATGTTACTTTTAGTAAATTGAACTTACAATTCCCCTGTTTTCGACGAAAAACAGAAATTACGATAGAAAAATCTTGAAAGGGGACCAAAATAAAAAAACGCTAGAGGTTTTCATGTGGTTGACGTAAAGCACGTTCCTCGTAATACGTCGTAATCTCCCGCGCGCCAGAGTCAATCTTTTAAAGAGCGCATCTTCGGCGCCAGCGTCCAGCTCGCGTGGGAGGTATTATATCGTGAGAGAGCTTTTTATCAGCGAACGGCATCGCGGACCGGACAGCGGGAAACTGGCCGGACGTGAAAAGACTCGCAGTCGGTATTGCGAGCTGGCGGTATACTGGCGGGAGCCATAGAGAAAGAGCTGCGGTCCCTGGGAATGTTATTCAACCAGAATCGATTGTTAAAGCCGCCGAAAGCTCCCTAAGTAGTTAATTGGTCGACACGCGAAATACGTCTGCGCTAGCCCGCCGGAGCAATAACTGCTAATTAATCTGCATCGCGGCGCATTAATCAGCGGCAGACGCCGCGGATTTGGAAGAAAGTCCCTCTATCTCTGAATGTTCTTTTCTTTAAATCGGTCGTTTACGAGCGGTCGTTCACTAACGAGATATCGAACCAATCTATTCTCTGTAATCCGATACAAAAAGAACTGGCGAGAAAAAAGAACAGATGCAAACGTGGAGATCGTCGCGTCGCGGTTGAGACGCGAAATTGAACGTCAATATGTTAGTTTATTTGAGATGCGTTTTTATAAAGAGTATAAATATAAAGAAATATTAATTAACAAAAATCAATTTTATCTACAATGGCTTATAATTGGAAAATTGTATTGTTACCTTGACATTTCAATTAAGAAAGATTTAATTCACATAATCCTTTTTGTTGTTTTATCGTAGATTTTGTTTGCAAATCGAAAGCAATTCATATACATAGTTCACAACATTATTCGGGTTTAAAAAAAAATTGTTAAAAAAATGTTTCAACACAAAAATAGTTTTTTGTACGGGAAACCTCAGAAATTTGCTATTAACGAGTAATTAATGACATTAAAATAAAGCAAATTAAATTGACTTACCGGTGCGATGCGCAGCAACGGAGTTGTTCGCAAGTTGATCTGTAACATGCAAAATATATCCAAATTGTAGCAGCAAATTATTTGAAATAATTATTTAAGAAATAATTATTACGTGCATTAAAGTTCCGCTCTGTTATTCAAATATCCAATAAAAGAATTATATATTTATATTGAATAAGTAACCATAAATATTAAAAATTGTAAATTGTTTACCGAAAGATTTTATTTCAAAGTTTCTTTGTGCGTTGCATTGCATGATTGATATTTTACGTGCAATATTTTACAAATTACATAGCAAATAAACGATTGCTTACCCTAAAGTTGCTCCGCCGGCACCCGATATCCTTCCTAAGCCTCATCCTCCTCTCAGACTTCCTTGCAGTTCTTCAAAGCACTCATACGCGTTCGCGATTCGAATGCAAAAATCGCACGATGTTTTAAACGGGGACTCCCGACGCGTATTTTATCATTCGAACAAAGTAAAACTCGAATATCATCGCACGGATTTCGACACTCTCCGCAATAAATAACTCTTTCGTTACGGACACGGCAGAGTGTCGAATATGTGCAATCCGTGCAATGATATTCCATACAAGCTTTACTTTTGTCCCGATATAACAAAATGCGCGTCGGGAGGGCCGTTCAAAATATTGTGCGATTTTTGTATTCGCGTCACGAACGTGTGTGAGTATCTTGAAGAACTGCAAAAAGAACTGAGAAGGAGGCAAAGAGAGAAGGAAGAGGCTCAAAAAGAGCATCAGGCGCCGGCAGAGAGCAACTTTAAGGTAAATAATCATTCATTTATTTGTTAAATACTGCACGTAAAATATTATGTAATGTAAGGACATATAGAAACTTTGAAATATTCAGTAAAACATTTGCAATTTTTAATATTTATAATTATTAAAAATAAATATATAATTCTTTCATTAGATATTTGTATAAAAAATGAATAAAAATTTAATGCGTGTAATAATTATTTCTTAAATAATTATTTTAAACACTGCTATAATTTGAATGTACTTTGTATGTTACAGATCAATTTATCACAACAACTCCTCCGCGTTGCTGTACATCGTGCTGATAATTCAATACAATTTATTTTACTTTAGTATCATTAATCACCCGTTAATAGCAGATTTCTGAGGTTTCTCTATATAAAAATCAATCTGATTGGTTAACTTAAAACATTTTACATTTAAAAATTACTTCAACTTTGTCATTTTACTATAAATTTTCATCTGCAAATGACCGCAGAAATCTGTTATTAACGACACAATTAATTTGAGATATCTTATATAAATATAACGTCGAGTATCGAGCGCGAGGATCGTACTTGGTATCGAAAGAAATTTTACACTCGACACTACTTTGCGATCTCAGTGGAATAGCGCTTGCACAGCGAAATTTCTCACAGCGCTCGCTTCTCAATTATTCATCATCGGAATCACGATGGAGCATCCAATCGAGGAGCGTCTCAGATCAAAGATACCGAAGCTCCGTGGTTCCGGTCTGCCCTATCGAACCTGAACAGCGTTTGGAGCGGCGGCGCTGGACAGTACGGTATACATCTACGGCACGAACCGAAGCAATCATCTGATCCTTCGTGGAACCGGCGAAGAACCGCGACTGCACGCGTTATAAACTGAAGTACTCGAGCGCGGAATATCCAACGACCCCATCGCCATTTCGCGTAATGAGCAAAGTGAAATTGTTCTTCTCGTGTTTTTCGCTGTAACGAGATGTCGAGGGAAAATAACCGCGAATACGTTTATTGCCGACGGACGTCGGTAGTTTAACTCGACGTTGATTAGATTATACGACATAACACTGTATCTATGCACCATTCAGATTAGATAACCCTCAATCTGTGTCGCGCTTAGCCGGAACATCTTAACTCGTTACGTAACTGATGGCGTAAGGCACTGGAACTCTCACATCCGAGGCAATTAAACGCGAAACTCGAAGAGGACGTTATATTTCACGCGATAGAATTAAGAATACTATTTCAACAGACTTCCGGAATTGACATCCCTGTTGAATTATCGAGTTTTTCAGTTTGCAATAAATCATTGACTTAAGAGTCTGCTGAAAAGTTATGTTCCATTATACGTCGGGTCCATCTACGGCGATGGCTTTCACCATGAAAAAAAAAAAGTGGACGAGAAATGGAAGCCGCGGACATCGGTTTAAAGGAGCAAAGCAAGCTCCCAACCTAACCTTCGGGAAACTTGAAACCGGAGCACTCCCCTCGGCTTTATGCAAATCTATCGACGGCTCCGCGAGAAGTTCCACCATCGCTTTCCTATTTCTGCCAAACTTCGAACGAGAAGTGATGCCCGGCAAAGTTCCGGATCGCATCGCAATGCGCAGCACTGCGTGAAAATCATCGTACGTCGCTTACAAAGTGTTATTTGTTTGTCGGCAGCTTAGAAGTACGACGCACTTGCGCCGACGATCCACGATATGACAATTGAAAATCTTATAAATAAAAATGCCAATTGCTAAGCGATAAACAATGTAAAAGTACTTCTGAAATAGTGATCACTGTCGCACCTGATCTGTGTTTGCTTCTCCATTTTTAACTTTCTCTTTCATTCCTCTTTCATTTCGAATCTCCAGTTTGAGAACCATCGCCGTGCAAATCATTACGGCTAGCTATGCGTAGCATAGCGCGCCCGAATGTTTATTCCCATCACCGTAAACCAAAAGTCTACTTACTCTGGAGCAGGATTTCTCCAGCGTTGCGTTCCAGCCCGCGCCATCAGGCATCAACCGCCCGACCTGAAAGCAGAAATTACTTTAGTTAGTACATTTGATTTTATAAAATATTGTTTCTCTCTCTCGGAACTTCTAATGTAATAACGCGATATATATTGTGCGTCCCAAGCTGATAGTTCACCGAATAAGTTCAAAGCGTCATTCACATATATTGGCGCAAATTTGTTTCAACAAGTTTGTCGCAGCGCTTCGTTCAACCGTATAAACGCGATATCTATAATATAAATATTCGGCACTAATTAAAATTTTTAAATATGTAAACGCTGTTTAAGAGTATAGATTTATCAATAGTATGCTTTCATTAAAGATATGCTGCAATTTCGAATAATCATGCACGAACGTACCGGTGCGAGTAATAAATGTAATAGTATCTCCATAATTTGTGCCCGGCGGTAGCGGTCATAATTGTAATTTACAGTTACGGGAATACGAATCCTATTATATATCGCGTTATGCAATTCTCTGCATCTTCATTTCTTCCCGATTTTATGTTCCTCGATTACGTTTCTCAATTATTTCTACAATTTCACCAACATTACTATTTTATTAAAAGTTTATCGACGATACCATTAAAGATGCATTCTGTAATTTATTAACATCCAATAAGCCAGTGTGTAACGATATCCTATAAGAGCTAATCCTGATTCACGATAATCATGTTGTATCGCGCCCTACATGGTATCATAATTGAGGATTAATTTCCGATGTTGACCAGAAGTTCAGTATCTCGTATGGCAAGATTCCGCAACAACTACGCAGCCCGATGATAAATATTTGCCGTAAGTTGCACGATAGGAAAACGGATAAAAGCGTAATACCACAGCCGTAGGAAGGAAGTACTGCGGCGGAGCATATACGTCGGCGGCGGCAACGGCAGTATGTTTACGGTGTGTACATACGAACTTAACGAACCGTCGGAAATCCTCGCTACACCGTCGGAGAAAAGCCGAAAGTTGCCCATCATTCGGGCAACTTACCCCTCGAGGACTCATCGTTACCACCGCGGCCGTCGCCATTGCCGCTGCCGGTCGTAACTTTGCAGCATCGTCGGCGGTTTTGCTCGCGGACGTGTACAGAACGTGCGCTTTATTGCCATCATAAATGTCATTTAATCTACATCAATGTGCCCCGGCAATTTCACGCGATACGTTCTGATATACGATGTGCGAACTTCGATAACAACTTGAAAAAAAAAAAAGAAAAGTTAAACGGAGAAGCAAAATAGAACAAGAACACGATCTCTCTTCATATTTCTCAGCGATTTTTAATTTTATCGTAATTTTCTCATGTTTATATGTATATTTAGAAAAAGACGAATAAAAATGAAGATTTAATCAATCAAAATGTAAAAAGAAGTTACGCTTAAGATAACTTATGTCAGAAGATAAACTGAAGCGTAAAGTGTAAAAATATAAGAGCAATAAAGAAATATTATTTCTAGGATCAAAATATCAATCCGAATACTTCCGGATTCTTGCTGACATATTTATGGAATCCCTGGCACGTTTTAATCATTGTCAACAAGCGATATCCGATACAAGTGTGCAGCAAATCTCCGCTTTCACATTCCGAGAAAGAGACGTGTTTAACGATCGGCTATCGCGGTATTCTCGTGTTACAAGCACAACAGATTGACCGCATCGTGACAGTTCTTGATAAAATATCGCGCAGAAAAAGTTAAATGGCTTTCTATTTTCGTGATTGTCAAACTACGTCTTTCGACAGTATCAAGACAGATTCTTCTGAACGCTTCAACCGAGAATGACTCCTTGCATACAGGGGATTATATTATGTAAGCGAAGTTGTAGCGTGACTTCAGCCAGCTCATGCATATCTCAACGAGAAGTGGGTGCCTCTTCAGCCTACGTTTTTCCCCGCTTGAATCCCTTCGACCGTGCCTCCTGAATCCTTTAGAACCCACCCTCGTCTGCTCCTTTTAACAGGCGACTCTAAACACGTCGCGCAAATAGTTTTTAGACTTGTGACAAAAAGTGTATACGTGTACGATGTAAAAAACGTGACAAAATTGATGTGCAATTTTACTTTCAACTATTTTATGTTACGCGTACACTTAATAAATTATTTTATTTCATAAATTTTAAAACTTTAGGGGCATCTTATGATCGTTTTACATCACGAAATTATATGACTTATATAATTATGTGACTTTAAAAAATTTAACGAGTTTACCAAATTTTTGTCAACCAATAATGACTTACGTAAATAACATAGGAAATATATAGACGCTGATAATAAGTTGATACTGCAATTTTACGATACTGACCTTTGCATGTTAGTTGAAGATTAATTGCGCGCGCGAATACGCGACTGTCGATGAATTTTAATCTGAGTGATTGAAGCGACCGAAGGGATTCTATGAAGTATCTCACACGCTCAAGAGAATCTGGGTCAGATTTTTACAATTTAAATGGTTTCTCTCGCATTCAAAGCACTGGGATTATCAAGTTGCTTGATCCTTTGAACTCTCACCAATATCTGAAATTTCTCGCTACGCTACATTTCCTGCATAATACAACCATCGCATGTAACGCATCTGTACACGGTACACCCATTATAATTTGTGCGCGCAAAGAGATATCTTTATATCACAGCATGTCCAATGATTATGTACTATCATGTTTTTCGAAACTATATTCGTATAATGTTTTTAAGTTTAGATCGTTTCGGGAATCAGATGACAAAGTTGCAACATAAAATAACGATGACTCTTTCTCTCTCTCTCTCTTTTTTATAAACGCTCATTGAATAAAATGAAACTTTCCTGCATGCTTCTCCCTTTTATCGGAATCCGTCGATATATCGCAACTTTTAAATCGGTAAAGTGCCTGCGAATATCAAGCGACTTCGACAAAACATCGCATACAGAAGCGAGAGTGCACTTTCGGCGCATTTATACACACAGATCTACGGATGCAGCCACCGACACAATGCGACAGCGGAATTGGCTAGTTATGAGCGTTTTTTGCGAACGCAAGCACAGCAAATCCGGCTACGGACCCGCAGCTTCAGCAGTATTGCGGGTCTTGCTCTTCGAAATGCGTATAGGGGCGCGTCCTCTCGCCCTCCCCTTCGCCCGCCGTTTCTCCGCTCTCAACGACGCCATCATCCCGCTTCCGAACCAGCCGTGCACCCGACCTCCCCTTCGCCCTTCTTACTTTTTTTGGCTTCACCGCCGCTCTTTTCCATTCAAGAGACGTGATTGCAGCCTGCATATTTTATGAGACCAGCCTTCAACCCATCTATCCAGCCAGCCAGCCATCCATCCATGATGGATCCGTCTGTCCGTCGCCGGCTATAATCCAACCTCGCACTTTTCGCGACAGTGTCAAGACTTATTCTTGAGCCACCATCATGCCGCACTACCCGCGCCTAGCTCTTAACATCCACCCTCCTTCATTTCCCCACGATGATATCGCACGTTTGTGCAGCTGCGCCGGGGAACGAGCGCAGGTATCGCCGCGAATCCGTCGCTAAAATCTCATCCCTGTCCAAAAAATGTAGACTATGTCCGCGTATAATATACCTTCGCACCTTTCTTGCAAAACTTTTGTAAAAAAATACACACGTAAAACAATTCTTTTCACGTCAACTCATACTAAAAAAAAAAAATAAAATATACCGTTGAATTTAAAACGTATATTCTTGAAGATAAAATAGTTCGAGGATACATTGTATCATTTATAACATTTCTAGACATGATGGACATTGCGCACTTCCGTCACAACGATATCAAGATCTCGCTTTCGCACGTTTTCGACGATGTAGTGCCTTTTTCTTGGTCGTTAGTCACGTTTATAGCAGGGAAGAACTGACCGAATCGGGGAAAGAGTTGAGAACGGCAAAGAGAAAGTGGTAAACTCGAGACACGTACGCAAGTTCTGATGAAGCTGCAAGAGTGCTCTTGCCACGCCCGTGCATGAAAAATTCCTCTATTCTTGCGTGCGTTGCGTATTTTGCGAAAATTCCCCGCTTCTCATATTTTACAATACAAAAAATTGAAATGATCAGCGTATTTATGAATATTCACTCCAATACCAAACTTGGGAAATACGATTAATTACTAAGCATGAATGACATTTGCGATTTCATTTAATAAAATGATAAATTGAAATTATAATAAAATGAAATTCATTTAATAAAATTTAATAAAAAATTTTATTTAATAAAATTGATTGATTAACTCAAGCTTCGACATTTCCGAAAATTAAAAAAATGTACAAGTCATTTGTTTTGTGAAGTCAAATTTTCAAAATATCAATCGTGTTTTATATAAATTAGATATGGCAAAAAAAAATAATTAGATATTTGTGGAATTTTGACACTTTGTTGTTTAATCAGAACCGCGACTAAGCCTTGCAAACATCATTCGCGGAATTTCGATTCGCTACGTCGCACCCTAAGGACCGATTCACGGTTGCGCGACGCATTCGAATTATTTCGCCAAGGGAAATCACAAGAGGAAGGTCGAAATGGGCGCATTTGTAGAATCTGACCGATGCAGATTAGACCTCTCGCTCGACCGGCTTTTCTCTTTCAGTGCAATTACGGACAAATGACCAGCGCGAGCACCGTTGCGTATTAATTTACACCGCAGAAATAAGAATTGAAATTCAATAGAACGTGCTCATTGGAATTGGCGCGCGCCATCGATCTCGGTGTTCATTTCTCATTTTATTTACATTGTGACTGCCGGCGTAATGCGAGAAATATGACTGTTTTCCGCCAGACTTATGTTGTGCGAGATCGTAATGCAATTCGAATGAGAGTCGTGTTATAACACTTTAATCATACAGTGATTAAGCACATAATCTTTCCATAACGCTTCGGAATTCTATAATACAAATTTCTATAATACAAATTTAAATTGCACGCGTGTGTCTCCTCTTTAAAAATATTAATGTTTATTAATTACATTGGCTTCCTTCTTGATTTTTTCCAATTCTAGTTTCGAAAATGATTAACTTGTAAGCTTACAATAAAAT